CTCCAGGGCCCGAGGATGAGTCCCGAGCATGCGCCGTGGCGCCTGACACCCCGGCTCCGAGCCTCAGGGGGCGGAGGCACGGCGCTCGGGCGGGGCGGAGCACGCGGGGAGGCCGAGCAAGCGAGAGGGGGAGCTGGAAACAGCCAATTAGAGGCTGCCTCCCGAAACCCCGGCGGCCTGCAGCGCCACCCTAGAACGGCTGGCTTAAAGTAACAGGTTCTTTGGGGGGGGGGGGTGGACTGACACGACAGGAGAGCGCGAGCTGGGGAGCCATTCCGGCCCCTGTGTAAACTCCGTTCGCTCTACAATAAAAAACGGATTAAAACTGTTGGAATGGAGCCACTGCCTAGAGCCCCCAGCAGTCGTAGAAGGGGTGTTAAATCAAGTCTTTGGCGGTAGAGAGCACGTTCGGGAAAGGAGAGTGGGCTTGGCTTTTTACTTTCCACCACGTATTTTTGTGGTTTTGTGCTGAAACGGCCAGAACGCACAGCCAAACAAACTTACTTAAACAGCGCCAGAGAAATTTACCCGACGAAAACCAAGCATCAAAATAGCAACCGCTGGGACTGAAGAGCCCGCGCCAATCCAGTGGCCCTTTCTCCCTCAACTCCCAGGGACCCGCCCACCCCACCCTCCTTCCCCCGGGCCACAACCACCGCCACGGAATACGTTTAAGTGAAATGAACAAGAAACAAGTATGCGGTTTCCTTCCTAGCCTCCCAAATCGGTCATCTGGAGCTGCGAAGCTTCACAAAGCCGAGCTCAGGTGTAGGCGAGACACCTGCGAGTGCCAGGGTGCAGACCCTAGGGAGTCAGGCTCGGAGTAGTTTGTCCCTGAGGCCTCCGCGGCTACCGACTGCTGGGTTGCATCAGAACGTGAGCACTGTCCTATAAGGACGTACATCCTGTCCTGGGAGCCTTAAAATAGCAGATAAAGTTAATGCTGACTGTAATGTGCATAAATTGTATTAAAATCTAGGCATATTGGCGACAGCCAACATAATCCATCTCTGGGTACTAATCCATGTAGACTCCCAAGTGGCAGCCAGTTACAGTCTCCTACAAATGTTCCAACTCCGATTGTATTTTCTCAGTGGCCGTGGACAGAACTGTGAACCGCGCGTGGGGTGCAAGAAAGAATGACTAGCTTCCTCTAGAAACTAGACAGCTTTTTAAAAGGAAATGGATAAGATCTAGATCCGTGATATGAAAATGAAAGGTGGGTGTGACTGTTTCTTTAAATAAAGGTCCCAGTATCTTCCTAGCTCTTACTGCTTTCTTGAATTGTTTTGGTGGCGATTGTCTTCAGGACTATCATTTGTTCATCACCCTTCAATTCCCAGATTCTTTCCTTTTCTCCGTGCCTTTTTGCCTCTTTCTCTTTCTGACTCGACTTTTTTGCTTTCCTCTTTTTCTCATTCCTTGAGACACAAAATTATCTTGGCCCTGGCCAAGAAAACAGTAGAAAAGCCGGAAGGAGGTTGACTGGGGCATCCCAGGTCCTCACCGATCATGTGAACCGATGCTCACAGATGTTAGAAATCAGATGGACCTCTTCCCATCCAACCTTACTCTTCAAACCAGCAAGCTGCCAACTCAAGTAGTGTGGTTCTCCAAAAACTGATACTCCCTCTCTCCCAGTTACAGACAAAAAGATTTCACTTGAGAACCTTAATCCTTTCCATCCTTCTATAGGATTCGGCACATACAGAAGAAAGTGTCTGAGGAGGAAACATTTCGATCCAAGTCCAAGAACTTAGATTTTTTTCAACCAAGTGCATACGGGCATGTTATCTTGTGATACGTGTGTATCTGGGGGAGAGGGACAGTAAGTTCACATATACAGAGACAGGTTCGGTGTGGTATCTGCATGAAGGGTGGCTATACCTGCTGACATTATCAAACTTTCCATTAATCAAGTTGCAGAGAACTTGCTTTCTAATGATGACAATAGAAGCCGAAGATTATCGGAATGTGTCATTGGTAAAGTCATTTCTACCGAGCAGTAACCACCATTGCTACTGTGTGTGGCTTAGAATGCCAGTGGAAAACAAATTTGCATTGATTTCAGAGTTTTGCTAACTTTTCTGTTTGTCTACCTCCTTGTGTGAGGGACTGATCTCTTTTTTATTACATATCTACTGAGTTCTGGTCTATTCTGGCAATCACAAATAAACCATAGAATCTGTCTTTCCCCAATACCCCTCCTTTCTCAAAGAATGCTTTAAAACCCCAACACCCAACATTGGTAATTCTTAATCTGTAGACACTGGAGATTTTAAATGTGTCAGTAGATGGCGCCTAGAGCCCTTCCACGGAAGTCCTTACATGACCTCTTTATGACAAAAAGACAACCAGAATACTACTCTAGGTTCAACTTTGAACGAAGGAATTTGTGCTTTTCAATATGTTTGTAGCTGTTTTAATCAGTTGATTGTTCAAAGCAATGAAAACAAATGTATTTCCTGTGCAGTTATCCTGGAGCTCTTCACAGTTTGAGATATAAATGTGGAAAACCACCTTTTCAGTACTTGACAATCTGTATAGAAAATGCACTGAAAGGAGCTGGTGTGGTGGCTCAGTCCTGTGGCACAGTTTGAGATATAAATGTGGAAAACCACCTTTTCAGTACTTGACAATCTGTATAGAAAATGCACTGAAAGGAGCTGGTGTGGTGGCTCAGTCCTGTGATCCCAGCTCTTGGGAGGCTGAGGCAAAAAGATTTAGATTTCAAGGCCAATCTCAGCTGTATAGCAAGCCTGGGTTACATGAGGCCTAGTCTCCCTCCACCCCCACCCTCAAAAAAAGGAAAAGAAAAAGCAAGAAAATATACTGAAGACAGATTTAAATATTTTATTTTTATTTTGTGTGAGTGTAGTGCCTGCATGTATGTAAGTGCACCGAGGTTGTGCAATGCCGGAGGATGTCAGATCCCCTAGAACTGGAGATACCAGCAACTGTTAGCCACCATGTGGGTGCTGGGAACAGAACCTGGGTCCTCTGCAAGAGCAGCCAGTGCTCTTAACTTCTGAACCATCTCTCCAGCCCCCTGAAGACAGATTTTTAAAACAAATTTAAATGCTAACCAAACAATAATAGCAGTAATTAAAATAAAGGTGATGAGTGATAAATGCATCTATCTGAATAGTAATTATCTTACCAAAATTCATACTATAATGTATAGCACAATATGAAAAACCACTGTGTTAGTTTAAGGAACAGAAAAGTGATTGATGTCATGTCAAATAAAAATTATGAAAAATCAAAGAGGACAGAGTCTATGTCGGGTTTTCACCCTGCATTGCCACCTCCATATCACCACTGACTTGATCTCCAGCCATTTCCTTTCATTGTTGTGCTAGTTTAGAGCTTGAGGCTGATTTAGAGGTTGCTACCAGAGCAAAAAGATATTTCAAGTGTAATTGGGGTGTTATAAAGCACCCTAAAACAGATTTTATATGATTCTTTGTGGCATATTATTGGAGCAGAAACTCAATCAAATCAATAAAAATTAACCATTGCCCATCGTTTGCTGTATGAATTTATGTGGTAAGGGTTAGGGCTGTTGGGAAAGTACTAGATAATAGGACAGAGAGTAAACAGACATTTCACAAGCATTACATTCAGAATAACTAAGGATTTTTCCCATAATGGTGTATTTTTGTGTGATGTACATCTAGTAAGAAGGACAGGGGTCAGGGAATGTCACTTAGTTGGTAGAGCCACCTAGCACACAGGGAGCCCTAGGTTTGATCTGTAACACCCCCCATAAAACTGGCCTTGGTAGCACATACTTGCAATTCCAGCACTCAGTGGGAGGTAGAACCAGGAGGACTAGACCTATAGGGCCATCCTTGGCTACATAGTAAATTTGAAGCCAGCCTTGGCTATATAAGATGCTGTCTTTAAAAAAAAAAAAAAAAAAAAAAAAAACAATAAAACCATAATAAGAAGGAATGACGGGGTTTCTGCTGTCACAAAGTACATGACTCAGGAGAAATTCCACCAAAACTATTTCTTTTTATTTACTTTTTTAATTCATAATATCTACATTTGTATCACACATAAGGAAATAGCATAAAGATCTGGCACCAATAAAAGGACAAGAAAAACAGTGGCAGGAGATTAGAAGCCATGAGTGGCTGCCCTCAGTTCCACCTTTAATACCTGGAAATAGAGAGGGACACTTTTCATGCCCCACCACCAAATTTCTAATTTCTTTTTCCTTGATCTTAAATATTTTCTATGTTTACTTTATAGGAGTTCTTTTAGAAGAAAACAGATCCCACCATGAAAGAAAGCTAAGTCTTTTCAAGATCATAAGCACATTCTCCCAGTTAAAAATTATCTGTTTCTTATGGAAAATTATCAGTTCAAAATGTTAACAACATGCTTAGTGTTATATTTAAATCGTGATTCTAGGGTAATGTGTTGGGAACACACCAGAATAGTGAGAATCATTACTACATTGAAAAGAATAGTTACTTTGATATCGACTTAAGCACCTAATCTAAAACTATTTCTAGAGATAAAAAATGCACAGAGCTTTTGGTCCGGACGTGGTGGCACATGCCTTTAATCCCAGCACTCAGGAGGCAAAGGCAGGTGAATCTCTGTGAGTTCGAGGCCAGACTGGTCTACATAGTGAGTTCCAGGACAGCTAGGGCTACAGGGAGACCTTGTCTCAAAAAGACCAAAAAAAAAAACAAGCACAGAGGTCTTTTAACCACCAGAGCCTCTTCATGTGTAAATTATTCCCTGAGAGTCCTTTAAGCAACTCATTTATACATTCAGAAGAAGACTGCCTCCACAGTGATAATTTATTAACTTGGTGAGCTGTGTTCCTAATTTAATAAGTCCTGAAAATTAATCAAGGATGAGCAATGTGAGATGAGCATTGTGAAGCACGGTAAATATTGGGATCTGCTGATAAAGTGTAAATGAAACATCTCCCTAGTCCAGTAAATACAGGAACCCTAGTGAAGCGATTGTAAGGAAAA